TTGACTTGCTTTGTTATTTTACCTTGCTCAGATTTGTAAACACTAAATGTTAATAACTGTTACTATACTGTAATTTTACATACTTATTTAATTTAAAACACCATTTTTCTTGTTTTTCCTGTGTTCTCCACAACTTTAGAATTTATTATTATTGTTGTTGTTTAATCTATAATTATTTAAAGTATATTTATTTAATTATTATATATTTGGTTAGTACTGTACTGTAGTAATAACTTTTTTGTGTGTTTTATATAATGTGTATATTATTGTTCTATAAATAAAATGAGAAACTTTTTTTTTGTAGTGTTTATTGGTTAAATGTCATATGGGTTTTCTGTACGTAGTTATACAAATATAAAGTGAATGTCTCTTTAAAAATAAAGGTCTAAAATATGATCAAAATGTTCTTTTCAATTATTCACATTCAAATATTTTCTATATTAAAGATAACTATACCCTATTATAATGTAAATGTTTATAAGGATCGTTGCAGATTTTGTACATCCTACACAAGAACCATTATTACAAGTTTTATTTTATCTTTGTGCACAAAGTTCGTTTATTATATGTTAATCGTTCTAAAAGTTTATCTAGATGAAAAACAATTACAAATTCCTTTTATGGTATTTGTGGCCGAGGCGGGATTCGAACATCTAATTGTGTGTAGTTTATTCGGCCCGCCTCCCTTTAATTTCCTTCATTCCTATTGGCTAGTCACAGGCGTGGAAGGCAGCTGTGCTAACCATCAACGCAGCGTGGAAAAAGGATGTTTAGCAGCTCTGGCCACACGGTTTTGACTTCTTGCCTCCATAGACAGCGGGCTGAATATGAAGGGATTCAACAATCGTTTAAAAGACATTTAACTGTCAAAAACGAATACATCGTAAATCAGCACCGACCTGGCGTTTCTGATGCTTTAAAAGCGTAACTGCACCGCCTAGCGGTGGTCACAGTTTTTAATTACAGGCGGTCTATCTATACATTTACTCAATAAAAATAAACACAAATGAACAGTCTAAGCTTATTTTTTGTCATTTACTCACCATCCGCATGTCTGTCCACACCTATATCATTTTATACCCACATTTATTATTTTCATGCAGAATATTTAATTAGTAGTGTTAATTTTAATACACTCAATAATAAAAATGATTTAAAAAAACACACTAGTCAATTTTTTCATGATAGAAATTTAATAACTACTTTTAACAACAACAACAACAAAAGTCAAGCATGCGAAAAAAGCATTGTGGCAGGTTGCTCCCATCTGCTGGACAAAAGGAAAAAAGAAAAATATTTATTTATTTATTCAATTGTTTGTCTGTTTATTTATTTATCAATAATTCATAATTTTTCAATAATTAAAAGAGATTTTCCAAAATTCTAATTTAAAATGATTTCTGCACGTTTATTGTATAATTCTTGATGATTAAGTTATAGATATGCTGCATGACTTTGACGTGTTTAATTAGTGTACATTGAACATTCGAGTATGCAGAGACCAGAGTTGCATTGGAAAAACAATTCAAGTCAACCAAAGCAGTTTTAAGTCTATTAAAAAATAAGGCAGTGTGAAAGAAAAAAATATTTATAAGATCACTCAAACACATTCTTCTATAAATATTTAATATACGTGTCTATACACAGTATTTAAAACAGTTTAAATAATTAATTGAATGTTTTATATTAAATTCAATTTAATGCGAAGGTTGTTGAGGTCCTTTTTAGTCACGTGATGCCTGACGCACTACGCAGAAAGCGAACTCCTTATTATTCTTCGCACGTCACACTCTGGGTTCACAACGATCTTTTCGGGAATAGGTAACGTTAGGAGGAAAAGATAAAAGATAAATTCAGACCATCGGGACCTACTGTCATATTTCACTTTATTAAATGAAGATCAGTCACCAGACGACAGAAAATATATAGAACTGTGATATTTAGCGCTTCTGAACAAAATGACCACGGATAAGCGAAAGTGAAAGTAACTTATAGGCCTAATGTTAACTAAAAGCTCGTATCAGTATTTCAGTCAAGCGTATTCAAAGGTTATCATATTAGTATTTTGTCAGTTGGAACAAGACTTTTAGCAGTTTATTGACCGTTTGTTTTTACATTTTGATACATTTGTCCAGTGGTTGGCTCGACGTCAAGGCCATGGAGCCTAATAAGGTACGTAAACAGGAAATCTTGAAGATTGCTTTTTAATGCTTATTAAAAGGTTATGGCTTGTAATGTTTACATTTAAGTATGTTGTGGGGATTTAATGTCCCTGATAGGAGAGAGTATAATAAGATGAGGTAGTTTTCAGTTCGATTGTCATCAAGGCGAGGAAACACAAGCATACGTTTGTGCAGTAGAACTTTTCTACAAAGCAAAGGTGGGTTTATTTTTGCAGTAGGCTACTCCCTCTGATTTTTCAAAGAAAAATAGCAGATGTGATGTGCTATTTGATGTTAACATTTACAGCAGCATGGACGATTACCACGTGTTCTGTGCTGATTCACAGACATCTAGATATGACACTTTTTGAATTTGTGGTCGAGTAGCAAAAATTTTGATTCCTAATCACTTAATCACTGGCTCATCTAACTCAATTTTCCTCTATTTGATTGTTTTTAGAATTTGAGTTGTTTTATATGTTATTTGTTTTTCCTCAAAAGAGTGTACGCTTGAGATAACTGCTAAATGAGGCTATGGACACACATGAAGAGGAAGATGATGTGGGGACGATGGAGTGTGAACGGTAAAATATTGCAGTTTTATGATGTATTACAGTTTCTTTATTTGTCTGTAGGTCTTGTGTAAGTTGTGTAATAAAAAAAAAAACTAATACAAGAATATTTTTTACGAGTCATCACAGTCCATGGTCTTTTTTTCTTTTCTTTTTTAAAAATAATTTATCATTGACTACTTTTCTGCTTCATTTGAAGATTAAGACCAGATAAAGCAACATCTCCATCACCTTCAATCACATCTCTACAAAGTGACCAGTCACTGGATCGACCGATACGGTTTAAAGATGGATCTCAGAGTTTTCTGGTGATAGAAAGGTATGCTAATTTAGAACTGGAGTGCCAAACAGAATGGAAAAATGTCATGTTCTTGTTCTTATAACCATTTTTCTCCAAACCCTTAAATATCAGGTATAAATGCACATAAATTAAAAGTATTAGTATTAAAATGATTATTGAAAAAGCCTTCCCCCACCAAAGGTTGAGACAAGGTCAGTCAACATCTCCAGCACCTTCAATTACATCTCTACAAAGTGACCAGTCACTGGATCGACCGATATTGTTCAAAGATGGAGCAGAGCGTAAAAAGGGGAATAAAAGGTGTGGTACTTGCATACATTTTCTCAATATATTTCCTTGTCTTGGTTTTGTAATTTATAGTTTTTCAGGTAAACTACATTTAAATAATTTACTATAAGTATGCAATATTCCACTTGCATTTGTGCTGTTGTACTAAATTGTACTAAATAAACATTTTAAACAACAACAACCACAACAAAAAACACTTATCACTTGGCTTCTGCTCCACAACACTCACACAGAAAAGCTTTGAAAACAGTCAAATGTCTTAGTGTTGTTACTGTATATTAAATATTACTCTATGAATGATGCTTTAATGTTTGAAAGCAAATATGTTATTAAAGTTACCGATGCAAATTTCATTTTCATGCTGCGAATGACATGAATTATAAGTTATTTGTTTTCGTTAGGGTTATTTGTTTTGGAACGTAAGAACACACTCACTTTTTTCTTCATTGTTTGAAAGGTTGAGACCATATAAAGGAACGTCTCCAGCGCCCTCCTATACATCTCTACAAAGTGACCAGTCACTGGATCGACCGATACTGTTCAAAGATGGAACTCCGAGCAATGAAAGGTATATGAGGAATAAGAGTTTGGGTCCTTATTATGCATGTACTGGTTTACACAACAGATTTTCCTGGTGTGCTAATTTGATGGACAAATGCTATTTACTTACCCTGGTGTTGTTCTAATGCAGTATTCTTGACTTTTTCTCACCACAAAAGGAGAAATTTAAAAAACAAAATGCTCACAATCTATATAATGGCAGTGAACAGTGACCACATTCAAGGTTTAAAAAGGATGCAAAAGTATTACAGAATGATCCCATACAACTAGCGCTATATTTGGCAGGTGGTTCTGAATATATACAATAATGAAACTCAAATTGAATTGCAACTTATTTTTAGTGAATATCTTGACTTTAGAAGTTGGTCTGCTGTGCACGACTTGCTTTCATGACTCTGTATAAACACAGCAGTTCACTCTGGTGTGCCCAGGAAAAACATAACAAGTGCACCATTATGAGGAATCAAGATTGCTCAAAACACTACAAAAAACCAAAGACCACATCATCTTTTGTTCTCACTGAATCTTAATATTTAAAAATGCATTGTTTTTTGATTGAATCAGAATCGGCCTTTAAAACTCATATTGATCATAAAGGGGTCATGAACTGAGAAAACAAATTTCCCTTGATCTTTTGACAAATAACAGGTCAATGTACTATAAAAACATCCTGCAAGTTTCAGAACTCAAAACTTTCTTGTTAGTTTAAAAACAGCTTTTATTGAAACCAAGCTCAGAAAACGACTCGTTTTGGAATGTGCCACTTTATGACATAATAGTGTGGCTAAGCACCGCCTCCGCAGGAGAAGATCAACGCCTGCTTCTACATCACTGACTCTTTAGCCCCGCCCACTGATACACACTTGTAGTAGGAGGAGAGGATATACTAGAGAGACGCAAACACAGGATTACTCCATCAACAGAACCATACAGATGACATTACGAGATTACAAGACACTGTGTAGTGTAAGTTGTGAAAGATAGTCTTTGAAACTAGCCTTCCTTGTGATCCTAACAAATCTACATTGGACGCGAGTGCGAATTAGTTTCTCTTTCAGGCCAGAAGCGGCACGAATGCTTGTATGTCAGAAATAGAGCGGGACATCAGTTTACTGTCAGGGATTTATTGCGTCAATCCGTGCCACATCCATTGTAGACAGAAACGCAGATTATAATGGGTTCTGTTGTCTATAGTCGCGTTGCGCCACTCGCGTCCGGTGTAAACATGGGGGGAAATGAGCAAAGAGCTCCAGATCGCATCAGTGAAACACTGTTTGTTTGTTTGCTTTACTTTGCTACGGATTAATTTTTAAACAAGACAGTATGATGCAGCCTTTTCAGAGAGACTGAAAGAAAACGATGATACAGCGCTGAGACTGACTAGAGTGGATCCAACAGTAATGTCACAACACATAAGTGTGAATAAATGTGCTTTTACCACTATTGCATATTGCTATTTGATATATATTGATTATTTATACGTTTTTAACCCAAATGACCCATGTAGTTTTCAGAGTATGTCACAGCAGAGTCCATTTGTTATTTTAATAAGCGAAACTGTTAGCCAATCATAGCAGTGGGCGTTTACTTGCTCATCTTGAATGCGCCCCGCCTATAAAAACAGACCGTTCTGCAGAGAGGCTCAAAAACAGGATAGAAAATAGCCAATTACTTCTAAATTATGATGTTTTTTTTTAATGTAAAATCACACTAACATTATAATTGAACCTCACAGAACATTATAAAATAATAAAAAAATGCAGTTCATGACCCCTTTTAAATAAGAGTAGCATAAGTAAATTAAATAAAGACAATTTTAAAGAGTCTGTACTAAGTTGTGGTTTTCATGTCTGTCATGCACAGTGTTAAGCACCAGTTCTTTCTTCCCTTCAAAGGTTGAGACAAAGTCAAACAGCATCTCCAGCACCTTCATGCACGTCTCTACAAAGTGACCAGTCACTAGATCGTCCGATACTGTTCAAAGATGGAGCAGAGAGTTTCCTTAGCAATAAAAGGTGTGAGCACTTATAATTTCTGGTGGGATGCTTACAAGTTTGGGTATAAATACACTCATAGAAAGGGATTACATAGTAAAAAAATGGACCATGTTATTGGAACTAGGGTAAGGTTCTTCTGATTATATGCGGTTTGCACGCCTCTTATCTTGTACAGTATTTTAACATCAGGGTCACACTAGTTTGGGGACCAGGTCTCACTATTAACTAATTATTAACTATGACTTTTGCCTTAATAAACATTTAATTAGCTGCTTATTATTAGTAGGTAAGGTAGTTGTTAAGTTTAGGTATGAGGTTGGATTAAGGGATCTAAAATATGGTCATGCAGAATAATGCATGAATATGTGCTTTATAAGTGCTAATAAACAGCCAATATGCTAGTAATATGCATGCTAACAAGCAACTAGTTCATAGTGAGAATTGATCCCTAAAGGTTCTTTCTTCCCTTCAAAGGTTGAGACAAAGTCAAACAGCATCTCCAGCACCTTCATGCACGTCTCTACAAAGTGACCAGTCACTAGATCGTCCGATACTGTTCAAAGATGGAGCAGAGAGTTTCCTTAGCAATAAAAGGTGTGAGCACTTATAATTTCTGGTGGGATGCTTACAAGTTTGGGTATAAATACACTCATAGAAAGGGATTACATAGTAAAAAAATGGACCATGTTATTGGAACTAGGGTAAGGTTCTTCTGATTATATGCGGTTTGCACGCCTCTTATCTTGTACAGTATTTTAACATCAGGGTCACACTAGTTTGGGGACCAGGTCTCACTATTAACTAATTATTAACTATGACTTTTGCCTTAATAAACATTTAATTAGCTGCTTATTATTAGTAGGTAAGGTAGTTGTTAAGTTTAGGTATGAGGTTGGATTAAGGGATCTAAAATATGGTCATGCAGAATAATGCATGAATATGTGCTTTATAAGTGCTAATAAACAGCCAATATGCTAGTAATATGCATGCTAACAAGCAACTAGTTCATAGTGAGAATTGATCCCTAAAGTGTTACCAACATCAGTTCTTTCTTTCTCCCAAAGAATGAGACCAGATAAAATAACATCTCCAGCACCTTCTTCTACATCTCTGCAAAGTGACCAGTCACTAGATCGACCGATACTGTTTAACGATGGAGCTCTGGGGAATGAAAGGTATGAGCATTTAAAATTTCTGTTGGGATGCACACGTTACAAGTTTTGGTATAAATGTACTGATAAAAAGGAAATAAAAACGAGGAACTTGGAGAAGTCATTATATGCAGTACAGGTGTAACGGATTGTAGTTGAGTGTAGTTCAGTGATCCGTCTGGACCCAGACCCACAGTTCAGCACACATATACAGTATGCATATATATTTGTGAATTAAGTGCAAAGTATAATGATCATAGATTTCAATTCTATCATTGGCATGTTTTTAAATCTTGACAAATAAAATATTGGAGCGCTTTAAAAATTTGTTATGCGCTAAAAAAGCCGAAAGAGAACTCAATTCAGTATTCGCGCACTGTTACAGATAGTGTTTCAGTTAGCATGCAAACATGGAATTGAGTTATCTTTTGCATCTCCTTGTGCTTGAATGGAATTTTTTTTTAAATACCCGTCTTGGCAAGAACTCTCATAAACAGAGACAGTTATGTCTTAAATGACCGTACATAGTTAAGAAAGAAATCAGATGTGTATGATATTGGATATATTGGATCTGTGCCTTAGGTCTTAAAGTGATGGCAGCCTGTGAATACCTGCTGCTGTCTATGTCATTAATGCTAATAAAACACAATCTGTTTTATTTAGATAGTGAACATTATGCAGTTATTTCACATTTGATTATCCCATTTTTGTACCTGTACTACTGATAGACTTTACTGATCTTTAACCTTGTTCTATTGTATTTATCTATGCTTGTATTTTTTTTAAAGACTTCTAAGTAACAAATAGAAGGCAATGTTATTTTTGTTGGAATTTTTAATTAGAGTTTTGTGATCTTTTGCACCCCTAATATGCGCATTGCGTGCCTCTTATCTTGCACAGTATTTTAGCATCAGTTCTTTCTTTCCCCCAAAGGCTAAGACCAGATGAAGCAAGATCTCCAGCACCATCTTCTACATCTCTAAAAAGTGACCAGTCACTAGATAGGCCAATACTATTTAAAGATGGTACACAGAGTATAAGGAGGAGTAAAAGGTATAATTTACACCCATGTCCTTTGACTAAAAAAGAAAACAATATTTTTGGGTCTGAGTAAATTAGTACATTTTGTCTTATTTGACAACTTTATCAGTTTCCTAAGAACTGGTCAGAAAGGTCTGAACCATTTCAAAAGCACCACTGCAAGTGTTAATATTCAGTACTTAACATGAACACAACAATTACACAGCCAGACACCTTGCAGTGAAACTCAAATTTGGAATAATTTTAGAGGCAAATTTAATTCTGTTCAAAAATGAAACAGAGAGTATAAAGTATGAAAAACTTTTTTTAAAGGGGTCATATGATGCGATTAAAATTTTTACTTTCTCTTTGGAGTGTTACAAGCTCTTGGTGCATAAAGAAGATCTGTAAAGTTGCAAAGACTGAAGTCTCAAATCCAAAGAGATATTCTTTATAAAAGTTAAAAGTCAACCACGCCTACCTAAAACAGCTCGTTCCAACACGCCCCCACATGTCTACGTCACGATGTGTTCACGCAAAGAAAGAAGGCGTAACTTTTATTCTCGCTGTAGTATTGTTGCCGCCGCCGCCATGCTGTGGAGACGCTGTGTTTCGTTGTGAAAGTGAACTACTTTGTTTGGCCTTCCAAAAGAGGACGATATCCGCTTCCACTTGCCTTGAGCTGATCCGTGCTGGTCGCTGAGGAAATACATCAGCTTCGTGTTGTGGATCGCCGGATCGGCTTTCACCGTGGACGAAGCGGAGTCTCACGCTTGAGGTATTCGGCCAATCACAATGCACTGGATAGCTGGCCAATCAGAGCACACCTCGCTTTTCAGACAGATGAGCTTTGTAAAAATCGACGCGTTTCAGAAAGGCGGGGCATAGAGGAGAAACAATAATGTACAGTATGTGGAAAATGTGTTTTTTGAACCTTAAACCGCATAAACACATTTCATTACACCAAATACATAAAATAATGTTCTTTTTAGCAGCAACATATGACCCCTTTAAAATCCTTTTTAAGGAAGCGTTTTCTTCTAATATCAACAAATGTGTTCTTGTATCAAAGGCTGAGACCAAATAAAGCAACATCTCCTGCACCGTCCAGCACATCTCTGAGAAGTGACCAGTCACTGGATCGACCGATACTGTTAAAAGATGAAGCACCAAGTATAAGGTAGGTTACAGAGTAATACATATTTAAAACACACACATATACAGGGCCTAAAACTAACTTTTTGCCACACCTGCCAATGGCCGGTGACATGATAAAATTTACCGGCCACTCCAAAGAGAAAGGAAAAATTGAAATCGCATCATATGACCCCTTTAAGTGATTTTAAAACAAGCTTCACATAAACTATATTATATATGCATAAACTATACAAATTAATCATTATTCAAGCTATAAAAGTTAATCAGCGACTAGAACAGTCCAAGGATTTCTCTTTTCTTTTGTTCTTTGACAGACTTCAGCAGGTTTCACTTTAAAATCAGCGCTGTCTCTTTAAAAACCTGATGCATATGACGCGGATCTGACACATCCAATTTTCTCCCAACTCTTTACAGTCATTTAAGACTTTATAACTCACTTAAGACTACGTTTACAAAGTAACTCGCCAAAACCGCGCATTTTGACATAATTGTGTGTGTTTTCGTCCGTTGAAGCGTTACTGGTGCGCTGTCTGAAGCGGCTCAGCATCTGTGTAACAGCCGAATTGGCGACTGACACTGTTACATATACTCGCCAACGCCGATTTTTACTGGCATTTGGCGCTTGGCGAGTGTTAATTTTAGGCCCTGCACATATATTTATATATATATATATATATACATATATATATTTACTTGTTTGAATGTTTCTTTCTTTACCTGCCCTGTAAAAGTAACCTTTTCTTCTTTTCAAAGGCTGAAATCAAAAGGCACAACATCTCCAGCCCCTTCATGCACATCTCTGAAAAGTGACCAGTCACTGGATCGACCGATATTCTTCAAAGCAAGGTTATTTTCGTAAATGAAAACAAAAACTAAGATGAAAACGATTGATCAAAAAACATTTTCGTAAACTGAAATAAAATAAAAATTTAAAAATAAATGAAAAACTAAAACGAAACGAAACTAACAACAGTTATTTAAAAACGAACTGAAATAAAATAATAATTATCAAAAAATAAATAATCGTTTTCGTAATCATTACGTTCTCACCACACGGTGGAAAAATATATGAGCTGTGTGGCGGTTTAGGGAAATACCTGTAAATGGTGCATCATGCACGTGAGGTTATCTGATGGAGAGACAAAGCAGATTAAAGCAGAGTCCTGCACGTGTTCTGTTTGGTAAACCCGCACCAGCAGTACTTAACAGAACACTCGACCCGTTATCCGACAGCAGCACTAATTTAATTCTGTACCTGACCCGTTTGACAGACCGCGACCTTCTTGAAAGCAAGGTTATTTTCGTAAATGAAAAAAAAAACTAAGATGAAAACGATTGATCAAAAAACATTTTCGTAAACTGAAATAAAATAAAAATTTAAAAATAAATGAAAAACTAAAACGAAACGAAACTAACAACAGTTATTTAAAAACGAACTGAAATAAAATAATAATTATCAAAAAATAAATAATCGTTTTCGTAATCATTACGTTCTCACCACACGGTGGAAAAATATATGAGCTGTGTGGCGGTTTAGGGAAATACCTGTAAATGGTGCATCATGCACGTGAGGTTATCTGATGGAGAGACAAAGCAGATTAAAGCAGAGTCCTGCACGTGTTCTGTTTGGTAAACCCGCACCAGCAGTACTTAACAGAACACTCGACCCGTTATCCGACAGCAGCACTAATTTAATTCTGTACCTGACCCGTTTGACAGACCGCGACCCGAACCACATTTGCATTAAATCTACTACATCATGTAGGCAAAATTATTTATTTTCTCATGTAACACAAGAAATCAAACCATCATTAGGGATTCTAAGTAGGTGCTTTGAAGAAAAATAGACAAGCAGCGCAACATGGTAGGCTAATTAACAGAAACAAAGATGAGAACGTGCATCCTTTCTGTAAACAATACAAAACTTTTGCCTACATCTCGTAAACAATCTGCCAGGCTATTTTTTAAAAATTTGCATAAACCACATGCTTATAATTCTTCATAAATAAAAAGAACATATTTAAATATGCCTTTACTGTTAAATGTGATTGTCTCTCCTTAAACTCTGCAGTACATGTGGCCGTTGGTCCTTTATAGAAGCATTAAAAATAAAATTTATAAAATAAAATTATTTAGGCTACAGAAAGCAAGCAAAGAGTGCTCCCTAAGCTGTCATTCACTTCAGCTGCAGCGCGAATGGCTATAATGCGCAACTCTGCAAATCGAATTGTAAATAGAAATCTTTGACGGTCTTCAGACTGCAGAGCATGAACACGAATAAGCATGGGACCGTTTGAAGGCAGCTGCCTATCAGCGGGTATCGAATTGAGTCTAAATATTGGCTATCGGACCTGCAGTCCGCCCGCGCCTATTGATTCCCCGACCCGCAACGCAAACCCGTTTATATATTACTCAAATATTAGCGGTTAAATACAACCCATGGGGAGCCGCGTGCAGGACTCTGGTTTAAAGTGCACTTCGAAAGGTATGATCAGGCATAAGTGACGATCGATGCATTAGAGGTTGCATCACTGTAATGGGCTCATCTCTGCATTGCTGTTTTCATCCTGGCCTGCAGGGGTCACTCTCCTTGAGCCCTTTATGTCATGTTTCCTCCAGAACTGCAGATGGCGCTTGTATTATGAACTCTAGTCTCTCCCTGTACCATGTTCAGTATCCTGCTCATCAGCTTTGATTGCCCACACCTGTGTTTGACCCTTTATAAGTCTGTTGGTTCCCTGCTATTGTGTTCAGTCTTGAGCCTATTCTTCCTGTGTATCCAGTTGCCGGTCCTCAAGTTAGGGTTGATTGTTCTTGTATTTTTTTGGACCCTAGTGTCTTTTTTTTTTGTTTGTTTGATGGAAGCTCAGTTTTCTATGTTTATTTTGTACTTTGTTTCTCTAGTAAAGATTATTTTTACTTTTTGAAGATTCAAGTCCTTTGGCTCTTCTTGGTCTTCTGCTTTTGGGTTTAACTGTCTGGGAGTAGCTCAGGGAGTAATTTCACACTCTTGGAGTGCCAGAGACCCGGGTTCAACCCCTGCTTAAAGTAGCCTCGTTACAGCAAGACTGAACCATAGAAGCAAGCCCAGCGGAAGAGTCTTCACCACCCTCCAATGTTGAACGGATCTTAGCTGCACTCTCAGAGCAAGCCACTACCATTCAACAACATAATCAAAGCTGATGAGCAGGATACTGAACATGGTATGGGGCATCTGGAGGAGCGGAGAGACTAGAGTTCATAATACAAGCGCCATCTGCAGTTCTGGAGGGAACATGACATAAAGGGCTCAAGGAGAGTGACCCCTGCAGGTCAGGATGAAAACAGCAATGCAGAGATGAGTCCATTACAATCACCACATATTGTGAGAAGTTTTAATAAAATAAATGGGGTGAAAAGATGTTGAGGCTCCGCCATTATTGAATTTCATGATTGATGTGCGTTTGTTTTTGGGAAAGCGAGAAAGACACGACAGTTAGGCTACAGTATCGTGATTATGGTTAAATAAGATAACATGCATCTAATATAACCAAATTACTAGTGCTGGTCAATGATTTTTTTTTTATTTTTTTATCGCGATTAATCGCATGATTGTCTGTGATTAAACGCATTGTTTTGCACAAAATTCAACAGTGCATTCAAAAGTAGTGTATTGCGCACTTTTTTTTTTTTTCTTTTAAAGGAACACTCCACTATTTTTGAAAATATGCTCATTTTCCAACTCCCCTAGAGTTAAACAGTTGAGTTTTACCATTTTCGAATCCATTCAGTCGATCTCCGGGTCTGGCGGTAGCACTTTTAGCTGTAGCTTAGCATAGATCATTGACTCTGATTAGACCGTTAGCATCTCGCTCAAAAATGACCAAAGAGTTTCGATATTTTTCCTATTTAAAACTTGACTCTTCTGTAGTTACATCGTGTACTAAGACCGACGGAAAATGAAAAGCTGCGATTTTCTAGGCCGATATGGCTAGAAACTATACTCTCATTCCGGCGTAATAATCAAGGAACATTGCTGCCGTACCATGGGTGCAGCAGGCACAATGATATTACGCAGTGCCTGAAAATAGGCTTATTGGAAGTTACCTAGCTGGGGACTATGTTCAGGCGCTGCGCTAGAAAATCGCAACTTTTCATTTTCCGTACACGATGTAACTACAGAAGAGTCAAGTTTTAAATAGGAAAAATATAGAAACTCTTCAAAAATAGTGGAGTGTTCCTTTAAAAGGGGTCATTTGATGCGATTTCAATTTTTCTTTCCCTTTGGAGTGTTACAAGCTCTTGGTGCATAAAGAAGATCTGTAAAGTTG